TAAAATAGGATTTCAAATCTACTGTTCTGACTTTTATTCCAACTTTAATGCTCTGTACCTTTTGTTCTGATACTTGGTTTCTCTACTGTCAGTACCGTTGCAGAAGGCCTGGACTAAGAGCAACTCGCACTGTTGCCACTGTTGAGTCAGGGCTCTTATCCAAACACAGTATCAGCTCAAGGATCTGTTCTTTTCAATATGATTAGATATCATAGTTACCTGTACAGGATGGGCTTATTTTGTATGTTTCTAAACCATGACACTAATTCGTTGTTTTTAAATAAACTTTCTTGCTTGGATTTAATTTTGTAGCTTCTTGCTATGGGCAGGTTTACATAAGCTATGGTAGTTTGTTTTCCCATTCCTCAGCAGCTAGTTACATGTGGCCTAATTTCCTTCACTGGGTAGGGTCTTGCTTTTGCAGTTAGTATTTAACAGAAAGAACTCGATTGGTGAGTGTATCACAACTCCCGTCATTAGAATTCTGATGTACTATGTTCAGAGATATATTCTTCGGTTTGAGTAATTTGAAAGATGTTCCCAACAGTCATCTCCCTATTACTTTTCATATTAGCATGTTTCATTGTTGTGAGTTAGAGCATATAGCCAGGATGTTTTCCTGAAAAAATACTTGTTGTCATGAAATCTATTGCCCTGTAATTTCCATGGTTCTTGGTAGAAAGGACAAGCAATGACTTTCAGCAACCTCTTTAATATTTGTGAATTGTCAATATATCTACTCTTATTCATCCTTTTCCCAGGAGACTAAATGGCTCTGGCATTTGCACATCTTCTTGCCTTTTAGCTCACTCAGTATCCTAATAGCTTTCCACTAAATGCTTTGACTGTCAACATTATTTTTGAAAGGTCACGTGGCAGCTCAAGCATGCCTGATTTTTAAACATTTTTGGAAAGTACATTGGTACTTTGTCTATTTCTGAGTTACCCATGCTCTGCTGTGTGGCTCAGCATAATTCTGCAATCTGTTTGAACCTGTTCTCTGTCCTCAAGAGAAGTTTAACTTGTTTCACTTGTTCTATGTTGGGTGCTTCAGAATTTGCTACTTCTATTTTTTTCTAGTTCATATATTTTAGGATAATGGTCTTTGATCAACACCACCCTTAAAGGAATACGAGGGTTCTTCAAAAAGTTTCCACACTTTAAAAAACTCTTATTTATTAAGAATTTCAAGAACAAATTACATCATTTTTCTACATAGTCACCTTCCTTCGGGATGCATTTTTCCCAGCATCATAGCAACTTTTTAATGCCATCAGCAAAAAATATGTAAAATATAAAAGTATGAAAACTTTTTGAAGATACCTCATATTAGCTTAAATGCCTTCATAGAGTTGACAGTATTTCCAGCTGTCACAGGAATTAGTACTCATTGCAAGGATGGGTTCCCCCTCTAAGATTAGTTCTGAAAACAGCATCCATGATATAGGTAACAAGTGGACAAAAAAGTAAGGCTTGACGAGCTATTAATTACCATGAGCATAAAGGCAAGGGGTGGCTGGTTCTTGGAGGCTTACAAAATAATTATTGAATTTGAGGGGATGCTTTCATTGCATATATGGCTGACTTTTCTGTGTAATGTACTATGTGCTTTCCTTGTCTTAAGAGGAAGCTGAATCTCAGAGCAAAGGTATTGAAGTCATTTAAGTTGGTCATAGTATTGATAAATATTGCACATAAAAATAGGGCATTGAGAATACTAAAACATTGAATTGACTTGAGATGCCCATATTTTCTGATTAAACAGTATCAACAGACTTGAATTGCTGAGTCCAAAAATACTTAAAACTTGGATAGGTATTGATCACTTACAGAATGTTTTCACTGCTGTTGATTTCCAGCACTGGGAATGGGTGAAATATAAATAAAAAATAATAATAGGTTGTTTGTATGGTGTAGTGGTTAAAAGTCTGGGACTGGGACTCAGGTTGTAATCCACACTCAGTCATGGAGCTCACTGGGTAACTTTGTGTCAGTCATATATTCTCAGCCCAACCTACTTCACAGGGTTGTTGTTGTGAGAATAAGATTGAGAGGAGAATTATGTAAGCCTTATTCTTTGGAAGGAAAAAAGGTGAGATATAAATAAATATCCCCTGAATTGTTTCAGGGTTATTTGAGGTTGCCTAACAACGCAAGAGCTTCTGCAGGTAAATTAAACCTTGTTGGACTATCGTGTTATGCAAACATGTCACTGACTGGATTTGCAACCCATCATAGGTATCTTGCCATGATGGATTGTCATGTTGCATGAACCAAGGCTGGTTCCTATAGTGCGGGTTCTTTGTGGACAACAAGCCACTCTCTCAACCCAATAGTTGTTTTAGGGGTAGTTGTACCAACATTGGGTTGTGTCTGCTGAACCCAGGCAATATTCCTCCCTCATGGGTACAGGGAATTGGCAAGCAAGCTGCTTGGCAAGAGTGGAAAACCACTTTTTGCTGAGCTCATCGGGGCTACCACCAATGACAGCCATGCCATCAAGTATCCAAGAAGTACTCTGGTATTATAGTCACTGGCTTGATCTACCCTGCTGTGACCATAACCCCTTCTGCAGCACTTATAATGTTTTTCCTCTCCCCCATTTTCCCCCACAGTGAACATATTGCACAGTCTCCAAAATGACAGTCACTGTCAGTCCCTTCAAAGTAGCCAAGTGGTACATTGGAGAAAGCATCACTGTTTGTCAGCTTTTTTAGTATTATTGTGTGTGTGCCTGAGGTTGACACACTTTTTTACATTAGTTTTCTATATAATTTTGTGGGGAGTTTGGAATAGTGCAGATGTGGAACACCATGTATTGCTGAGTTCTTCCTCCTCAATGCGCTGGATGGTGCATCCTGTTAAATTACAGCAACACCATCCATAGCCATTGGCAAAGCATGGCTACAAATAGGGTAATTTATTGCTTTGCTTCTCATTTTACAGCTGTCAAACGGCATGCTGTCAAGGTGTAAGTGGATCTTTGCTGAGAAAAGGGGATGGGATGGTGAATATATTACACTCTCTTGGCGAAATCTTTTTTTCCTATTTTTTGGGGTGTTGGGGTTTGGACCTGTGTGTTCTCAGTGTCCTCCACTATTACGTTGCCACCACTATCTTACTTTGTAGGAAAAAGTTTGTTTGCCTTGAGTTACGCATTAGATTATGTAGTGCAGGTGCAGAGCTGTGAGATTTGGATGCTGGGTTTTTAAAACATTTTTGTTATCTAGTTCTTTCTTCTGATGAAGATTTACTTGACTGTGTAGTTATGTCACAAACTTTCCTAGAACAGTGATTACCTTGTTTTATTAGTGAGAAGCTTATGTTCCCAGGAACAGGAGGCATGTCATTCTGAAAAAGGGTGGTGCAGAGACCAACAATGATTTTCTGATTTATGGTTTCTGTGCAAACATCTCTTATTGGCTTAAGGATTAGCTGAGCGTGGTAATAAAGTGAATATAGAATAACTGCATAAAAAAGACCTTATTGAAGCATGTTATAATAATGCCTGCAAGTATAATTCTGCAAGAGAAAACACCGAAAAACAGCACCTGCACAAAAGATGTTATTAATTCATAATTGGAACTGCTGTTTTTTGTTATTTTAAAAAAATAGTATCCTTCTTTTCCTGGAAGAAATAAGATAGTGTGGAGATTTTAGGGGAAGAAAAGGCTTGGGGTGGTATTCATGTTAAACTGTTATTAACAGACTTTTATACAATGCCCCATCTTTAACTACTTTTTAGCTGCCTTGTTTTTCTGCAGTCATTTACACTTTAAACAGAAAAAAAATGCTTTAGTTAACAAAAATAAACCTCTAAATCAGCTAAATTTTAGGCAAACGTTTCCTTATGCATTTAGCAAATATTCTTTGATTCTAAATTTCATTAGTACATATTTTGCAAGTAGTCTTCAGGTCAGTGGATTCTCTTATCTGACTGAGTGGAGCAACTGGATACAGTTAATTCAGGGAATAATTACTCATTTCAGTATTGGGAATAGTAAAATGCTTGTGTTAACCAAAATTAATGAAACTGCATTTTTCAACCACACAGACTGTGTTGGATGTGGAACATAGCAATAAACAACTTTTCTAAAGTAGCAGCAACCAGTATTCGTGTATTTTGAACCATTTCCTGCCTTTCAACATTTCTTGGGCATTTTAGAGAAACAAATATTTTGTACTGAAACTGAAGACAAGGCTATTATATATTTTCAAAGTTCTGCTGTGGTTCGAAAACATGAAGCCGCTTAAGGCTTCCACTAAATTAAAGTAGTTTAGTTCCACTAAATTAAAGTTGGTTGCTGTTTGGACTATTGTATCCCAGATCATAATATAAACAGTGATGAACTGATGGATGGATACTGATCCTGTGTGCAGTGTTACACCAAACAAGGGGACCTGCATTTGCAGCTAAGTGTCATAGTTGTGTGTAGAAAGCATTAGGAGATGGCAGCAGGTTTTTCACTAATTAGTTCCTGGCATGCAGCCCTCTTGTGAAGCTTTTTAATGTTCTTTATTCTACTGCTTTTGAAGACTGTTAATATCCTCTCTCTCTCTTTCTCTCTCTTGTCAGAATGCTTATCCTTGTAATCTAAAAATGTGTAAAGTGGTCTAAAGCACTCTAGTGATAAGTGGCCAGAGGCAAGAAACAAAAACTTAGATGAATGCTTTTAGAGGATGGCTAAGATGATTTAGATTAAAGCACAACTCAGTCATGGCAACTGATCATACCCAATGGGACATTGCTGAAATACTGATTAATTTATCAGTGTTGTGTATTTCTGCTTGTGCAATTCTTTGAAAATACTACTGGATGTATTCATAGAGATCCTTCTGGAAAGAGTTTCTCCCAACTGGGAAGAAAAAATCATTCCAGAGAAATTCATTCTTTCCTAAGTTAATATTGCTACTGGGGATTTTTTAAATATGATGCAGCTACAATCCGTGTTTAAGCTTCTAAAACAAGTCTCTCTTAACCATCTTGTTTTGTTTTTTAGGAAATCTGTCCAGTCTGAAAAGTCTTGGCCTGAGGTATAACCGGCTCTCAGCTATACCTAAGTCTCTAGCGCAGTGCAGTAAACTTGACGAACTGAACTTGGAGAACAACAATATTTCTACTCTACCAGAGGTGAGTTCAGAAGTTTTAAAGAACCTAAACATTATATTCAAGTAAGGCTTTGGAAGCAAAGATTTATTCCACAGTGTATGAATTGAGAACAATTTGTAAAAATAGAATTTGATTTTTCCAAATTCACAGCTTTTAAACCAAAGTCTTAAGATAGCATTTCTCAAACTAGTGCTTTCCCGGTATTTTGACCTTCAGTTTCAATCAGTCCAAGACCAGCATGAAGCTTTGAACATTTTGAAGGCACCAAGATGGGGAAGGCTGCTTTAAGAAGTGAGCTTTGTGTTAATGTGAGCTTGAAAAAAGAGTGTAGGATGGTCTTCCTTTCAAATGTTTTGGACTTCAACACCCAGGATTCCTGACCACTGTCTATGCTGGACAGGGCTGCTTGGGAATTACCGTCCAAAGTATCTGTAGGGCACTGGATAGAGGAAGGTTCTTTGTGAGTGTGTGTGAGAGAGAGGGAGGGAGGATGGGGGATTAATATCCGTAATCATAACCATTGAAAAAGTAGCACATTTGAACCACAAATTTAAAATGGTGGTCAGTTTCTTAGGAATAGTTCCTGTGAACTTTTGGGACAATAATTAATTTGGTGAATTTCTGTGGTAGAAGATCAGTCCTGCATCAGATGAGTGAACTCACAAAATGAATTTACATAGAAATATAGAAACGGAGCAAGTCAGAAGGGACCACCTGGGCCATCTAGTCTGACCCCTACTCCAGCCAGCTCCGCTCATGACATGTCTGCCGTGTGCCTGTCCAGTCTATCCTTGAACACCCTCACCAATGGGGTTTCAACCACCTCCCATGGAAGTCTATTCCATACCCTAGGGGTCCTAGCTGTCAGGAAGTACTTCTTGGCATCTAATTTGAACCTTTGCTCCCTGAGCTTTACTCCACTGGAACATGTCCTGCCAACCTCTGCAGGGGAAAACAGGTCTCTACCAACCTCCGCATGACACCCCTCACGTACCTATATACTGCCAACAAATCCCCTCAGAGTGTCGTCTTCTCCAGGCTGAAAAGACCCAGTTCCCTTAGTCTTGCCTTATATGGCTCCCCCTGCAATCCAGCCACCATCCCTGTGGTTCTACACTGCACTGATTCCAACCTGGCCTTACATAAGGCCAATATGTAAAACTGTGAAATGAAGACTTTCTAGCTGACACTTTACACTTGCTCTTATTTTGGTAGTCTGCCTATAAACTGAAAAGATACAAAAATGTATAGATTTTTGAATTTGTATTCCATTTCCTCTGTGAAAAGGTACATAGAGAAATCTTACATGAGCAGGATAGAATTTTCAGCTTTCATAACAGTGTACCAAGAAGTATATTCTGTTTTGGAAATTGCTTTCAGTGTTTAACTGGTTACAAACTACAAATAACTAGATACGTTAATGCTTTCTGCTTAAAGTTATATAATGTTGCTCTAAAGCACTAAACTCAGCATCGGTTTTAATACAAAAAATGATCTAGAAATGAGAGAGCTTTGAAATTGCCAAATTGGATATAGATGATTACCACTAGCATTGATTGGGAATGCATGAATATTGCTTGAAGAAATTGCTGATGGGAGAAAGCTGCCTGGTAGCTTTTAAGAACAAAGCTGAATCAGTCCTCCCAAGAACCTTAGGAAAGTTACTGAAGGGTAATTGCATATACAAAGGAGACTGGCTGGAAGACATACTGCTTTCTCATACGGTAAGTTGGCTTTCAGTTTAAAACTCCCTTAACAGATTTTTTAAAAAGCTTTATTCACAACTGCTAGTATGTGTATAAGTTGTAATTGCTGCTGAAAAGAGCCACTTACATGTTGTTGTAGTGCTAATCCATTAAAGCAAGTTGCTGGACTCAGAAGATAGAAAATACATTTGCAAAGAAAACTGCAGAATTGCAAAACATGCCAAACTCATGATGATGCAATGTCTAATAAACATTAGATCTTAAAAGACTAGTTTGGGAGAGGCAGCTGCCCATAAGTATTCATTAATAGTGAGTACTTTGTTCCTTGTCAAAGGAATGTATTATCTAATCTCTTTTGAGCCTTTTTAAAAATGTACAGTGTGTTTGAAAATGTCTAACACATATAATATCTGAATGGCTGAGTGGCTTATGAATCTTCGGTAAGCTTTTGGAAATGCCAGGAACTTGCCAGCTGTCCCAAAGGTCCATTGAAATCTATGGAATAAAGGAATCTTGTAATCAACATGCAGAAAGGATAGGATTTACCTGTTTTAAAAAATACAATGTAATTAGTAGCATTTGATAAGTATACGTGGCATCTTTTAAAGTTTCTCTTTTTAAGATTTAAAAAAGCACTCAGAAAAACAAGTAAGGGGATTTTTTATTATTTTTTGGGTAAATGTACAGACCACTCGTTCCTCATGATGGGAGTTGTAGTTGAACACCTGGACGATAGCAGGTTGAGGAAAACTACCTGTTCTTATGTCATCTTATACAAAGATAAGGGACAGGTTTCTTTAGCTGAAATCCCCACAGGTTGAATGATTTGAAACAGTTAACTAGGAGTTCTCTAAAATTCACTTGTTCCCAGGCTGTGCCGTGATCTTTGCTTCTTCCCACAATCTCCTTCTCCTGCCACAGTTGATTTGCTGCTACTATTAGTCTCACATTTCCCCTATTTGTTTGGCCAATAGGATTTTTGACAACTCACAACGGTGGTTCTCTTGTGGGCTGTGGGATGTACCCTTTTGTTAAAAAAAAATTATTGCTCAGAAAATTGCAAGCTTACCAAATCCTGTTCCTACCTTAATAATATGGGGTGACCTTAATGGTGTGAAATGGTTTGTGTATCCTCTTAATTGCTTCAGGGGGATAACTTAAGTCTGACATAGTAAGCCAAAAGAAGACATTTCATCTTTAAAGTTTGCTTTTAATTGCAAATTGTGTGTTTGGCAACTTGACAGCAAGTGAGAAATAAAAGCTCTGCCTCCAGAGATTTTGCAATCTCTCTTCATGTATATAATGGCCAAAAAGATTAATGGCACAATTTATATGAATTATTTGTGTGTTTGTTTAGGTTGATGTTTGCATGCATTTGTCAGAAGTTCATATGTAAAAATGAGGGCACAATTAAAAGCAAAAACATAGTTAAACTTAATGACACAAAAATAGTGTGGAGCTTACTTGAATTAACAATGAATTTGCTATGTTCTACAGCCTGTATGATCCTCAAATGCCTCTGAAGGGTTGGAGAACCCACAACAGTGGTTGTGGGTAGTAGTAGTAGTAGTATTTTCCTTTCTATACCATCCAATAAGCCAAAGCTCCCTGGGTGGTTCACAGCTTGGATATATACATAGATCGACTACAGTGTGTATCTGAAAATGCAGCATTCCGTTTTATTTAAACAGTTTCCATAGATGTTGTCTGAAAGGGGGTGGGGTGGGGTGGGGTGGGGTGGGGAGGGAGAATGAGAAATCTTTGTTTAGGGAGCATAGGAGACTACAGGAGAAGGGGAAAGCTGGTGAAGATTGCATCTTCTGTTTTGCCAACAGAAATGCTCTGCTAAGTAATAAACCTTGCACAGTCAGAAGGAGAGCCTTTCTATGCACAGAAGGCAAACTCTAGATCAAAACATTTAGCTTTAAAGTAGAACCATCACCCAATTAAAGAGCTCTTAGTCAATTAATGTCTGCTAATTCTACATAAATTTACATACAAATAATACAGATTTCTTGATAATGCATGCAGATACTGCAGCAGAGCACATGTCAGAAGAGTCATTCCCATGTATGGGTTAGAAATGGGAGAATGTCTCTTCCTAGATGGTGTTTGCTACTCAGAGTATTGTATAAGTCCTTATGTTAATATATTTAAAAGTCTGCTTGTCTTGCCAGTCCATGAAGAATAGATTTTTTTTAGTTGACAGAGTTTTAGTTTAACTATACTTCACCAAATGTTGCAACCCAACTTTAAAGTACTCCAATTTTAGATGGCAGTGGTTATGCAGCTATACCTATTAAAATGGGGAACTTACTGAGTCATCCAAAACAGATTTTATAAATAAAATAAGCAATGGCATTTGTTAACATCTATAAAATAATGGTGTGATAATAAATATTAGGAACAGTGTAACTTATCTACTACAGCCATGAGTTAATCATTCCCTCTTGCCTTTGACTTAGTTTGTTACAAATTACACTGCACTTGTTACTGTACTATAGTTGGTGGAGCTATCTTGACATTACATCCCTGCTCAGAACTACTTCTGTGCTTTTGTGTTACCAGTAGTTTCTTTTCAGCTGTTACTTTGGCTGAAAATGTAATGAGTGATTTTTTTTCTCAATGACATAATAGTCTTTTCAAAAACATGTGAATTACATCAGTGCATGCATAACTTGAATAACTTCAGTACAAACATATGCTCCCTATTCACACTACTGTTGTTTGAGAATTCAGCATGTACACCTCCATTGTGCACATGAAACTGTTCAATATTGAAGAAAACATGGAAGCCGCTGCTTGTGTGACTGTTGCATTAATGCTTTGCAGTTCTTTTAACATTAGGTCAGACTGATAGTGTATTGGAAAAGGATTGTGAATTTACTGAAGAAAACTGAAGAAAATCCTGTATGTTACCATACTAAAGTGTTTGGTAGGCTGTGGAAATGAGATAGTGTACAAGAGAAAAAAGTTTGTCTATTCAAATGTTTTGGGGTTCAGAACTATTGTGAACGTGTTATTAGATAAATCTCCTTTTCTCTTTCCCAGGGTCTCTTATCTACTCTTGTGAATTTGACTAGCCTAACTCTGGCAAGAAACTGTTTCCAATCATATCCAGTGGGTGGCCCATCACAATTCTCTACCATCTACGCTCTCAATATGGAACATAACCGCATCAATAAAATCCCTTTTGGAATTTTTTCTAGAGCAAAAGTGCTGAGTAAGCTTAATATGAAGGTGAGGCATTGTCTGTCAAGAATTAATCTGCTTCTGGCTTGCCATAATTAATGTGCTTATGGTAAAAAAATAGTTTATGAATTTGTAGTCAAAGAGATACTGGAACTATTTATTTATGTCAGTATGTAGGATGAATTTTCCAGTGTTAATTATAAAAAATTGAAAACATACCTTTTAACTGCTGGTATGGTATTTTTATATTCCTTGTGTTTTAGATCATATATTAATAAAAATTATTAGTTTAAACACAAACATTTTTTTCTGAGTTGTTGAATGTCTGACAAAAGCATCAGGCAGGGACTTTCCATTTTCCCACTGCTGCTACAGCTTCTGCAAAGGACAGAGTACCTTTGTTTTCAATAATCAGAATTTCAAGCTGACTGAACCCTTGGCAGCATGTTTATCCTTTTCCTAGAGAAAAACAAATGCATTGTTTCTCATAAGGAGATAAACAATGAACAAGGCCATATACCATCTTGAAATTCCTTTAAATTAAAAAGGTTTTTTCAAATGTTGGTGGTAATAAAAATAGAAGGACTTGCTCCGATTGTAGTTCTGAGATAAAGGCTATTGAACAATTAGATACTTGCATAATTCAAAATATGGCTTTGGAATATATGGTGTTGCAAACATAGATAGGTAATGTTTGGTTTTTCTCTCTTAGCTTCCATTAAGGTGTAATATTTAGACTGTCACACTTAGTTTGGATGAAAAAGCTTATGCTTGCATTATGGCATTTCCAGAAACATGTTTTTATTATTCTTTGTTTGGAGCCTAGCAGATCCAGCCCTGTTTTAGCAGATCACCAAATGA